ATATTTATTTCATGAGCATCGTCTAGTAATGAAATATCAACACTCTTAGTTTTTGTCTTGGGGGCAATCCTTCGCCCAACTCTCTCACACACACAATATATGAGGACAGAGAGGTCTATTGGTTAATGTGTTAATGATGGTACTATATTGCATTTTCTCCAGACATGCAAGTATGTCCATTACGAACTTGATCCAATTCAAGATGTGCCACCTATGCTGATGGGAGCTGGATCTGTTGCTCCTCCCAAACAACTAAAGCCTCAGCGAGCTGAATATTGTTCGGAGGTAGAACTTGGTGAATCACAATGGATTAACTGTGACATTCGTAATTTTAGAATGGACATTTTGGGGCAATTTGGAGTGATTATGGCAGATCCACCGTGGGATATCCATATGGAATTGCCTTATGGAACAATGGCTGATGATGAAATGCGCAATCTCAACGTTCCTGCGCTACAGACCGATGGTCTGATTTTTCTTTGGGTCACTGGGCGTGCAATGGAACTTGGAAGAGAATGGTGTGTGCTCACTTCTTATTGCCTGTTGGCTATAATAATTGTATAATATGTTCTTTCTGTTTGTATTCAAAATTATGCTCTTTATGTACAATCATTAATGTGTTGCTGAGAAGTTAATAATGTGCTGAATTTTTTTCTTTCATTTGGTTCACAAGCATATTACTTTGCCTTTGCAGTTTAGAACAATGGGGATACAAGCGTGTTGAGGAGCTTATATGGGTTAAGACAAATCAACTTCAAAGAATTATTAGAACAGGGCGGACGGGCCATTGGCTCAATCATAGTAAGGAGCATTGCCTTGTTGGAATAAAGGGAAATCCAGAAGTTAACAGGAATATTGACACAGATGTTGTTGTTGCGGAGGTTCGAGAAACAAGTCGTAAACCGGACGAGGTTAGTCTATCTCTCTCTCTTGCAAAACCTCCCCATCTGTTATTTCTTCAAAAGCTCACTTGGAATATTGTGATCGAACCCAAATATGTCGGAACATAAAAAGTAATCCAATGACAATGTTACTCCATGAGTAAGCGAGGACTTGGAACCTCCGTCTTTTGAGTGGCCACCCACTCCTAATTCCTAAAGTTACTAATCAATGCCTACCTTTTATGAGATCTCACATCGGTTGGAAGAGGAACGAAACATTTCTTATAAGGGTGTGGAGACCTCTCCTTAATAGACATGTTTTAAAACCTTGAGGAGAAGCCCAAAGAGGAAAATACCTGCTAGTAATGGGCTTGGGTTGTTACAAATGGTATCGGGAGCTAGACACCGAGCGGTGTGCCAGCGAGCACGCTGGACCCCAAGAGGGGTGGATTGTGAAATCCCACATCGGTTGGAGATCGGTTGGAGAGGGGAATGAATCATTCCTTATAAGTGTGTGGAAACCTCTCTCTAATAGACGCGTTTTAAAACTTTGAGAGGATGCCTTGGGTTGTTTACAAATGATATCAAAGCCAGACACCTAGCGATGTGCCAGCGAGCACGTTGGCCCCCAAGGTGGGTGGACTGTGAGATCCCACATCGGTTGTAGAGGGGAACGAAGCATTCCTTATAAGAGTGGAAATCTCTCCCTAACAAACGCGTTTTAAAACTTTAAGGGTAAGCCTGAAAAAGAAAGCCCAAAGAGGACAATATCTACTAGCGGTGGGCTTGGGCTATTACACCTTCATTCCTTCTCCTTCCTTTTATTTATAACAAGTCCCCGCTAATTACTTCTTTGCTATTACTAATATAACCTTAATACCGAATAATATCCACTATCCATTTGATAGGAGTTCAAAATATTGGGCAGGACATGGTAATTTTTTCTGTTTTCCCTTCTCATTTGAGCGATGGGGTTACAAAAAATTGCATCATGCCTCTAGTATGCTGCAGGAGCAGTGTTTTCATTTTATAGTGTTTGAAATGCTACATACACTAAAGTGCAAAAAACCCTTAATGAGTTGAGCACGAAGGCAAAAGGAAGGAACTTTATGGGGTGCACAATAGTAAAACATAGCTAAATTTTTGTTTATGAAAGAAAAAATATATATATATATATGTAGTAATATGGATAACAGGATACAAAAAGTGAAAAGCTGAGAATTTTTGGGACATATTTCTTTACTTTTGGAACATTGAGCTTCTGTACAAGGGTGCTCGGGAATCACTTTTTATCCTCAAATATTCACGCCTGCTTTATCCTACTACATTTAGTCAACATGAAAACATTATATAAGCAGTGATTTCAAATCCCGAGGTCAAGCGTACTCGGGCAGCTTTACGTAAGGCAGGATAATAAATCCTAGTAGTTGACCGCCATGGATTGAACGTTTCCTTCTTATTTCGTGAATGCCCTTATGACCACCATGCCAATTCATCATCAAAACCCTCCATAGGAGTTCCACATGCTTCATATTCATGTTTGTTTGATTCTCTTTTATCAGTTCAATAATGAGAACGTATCATTGCAGATGTACCCTTTGCTTGAGAGGATAAGTCCAAGAACAAGAAAGCTAGAATTATTTGCTCGCATGCACAACACTCATGCAGGGTATGTTTCATTTGTATTATCATTACTATTTTCCTTTCATGAAGGCTTCAAACGAGAGCATTTTTCAAGACAGAGAAACTATACCTTGCATTATGATCCACAAAACTTGTGAAAATTATTTATATACTAACGAAATCGATAAATCTGAAATTACTTGTTCCTTCAACAAATGTATTTACAAAATGGTGGCTGCTGGTGTTTCGTGAGTAAATTATGTATATGCACGACGAAACCGATAAATCTGAAACTAATTGTTCACATTTCACAAATATGTTTACGAAATGGTGGCTGCTGGTGTTAATAGATTCATTTCTGCATCGAGTTCTAGATGATATGTAGCACCATATGATGATTCTTTGTTGAATTGTTTTTCAGGTGGATATCTCTTGGTAATCAATTGAATGGAGTGAGGTTGGTTGATGAAGGACTAAGAGCAAGGTTCAAGGCTGCATATCCGAACGTAGAGGTCCAGCCAGCGTCCCCTCCAAGGGCTTCCATGGAAACTGATTCTGGGGCTGCCCAACTCAGGAGTCCCTTCGCAGGATCAGAATCAAAGGCAGCTTATGGGAACCCTACAATTCCTGAGGTACAATATGCAGTGACTACCCCAGATAAAGCCATTGCAGTAGGAGTTGACACGGCTAACTGAACCAAATCGCTCTAATCTATATATTACATGGGCTTTTGAATTGGTTCTGTATTGTTTTGTTGCTTGATTTGCGTCTGAAAGTTTCATGTTTTCTCTTATTTTATGTTCCTATATTTACATGCAGTAGGTGAAATGAGAAACACAATTTTGAATAAGATGAGAGAATTTTGTGACTCCTTTGTCCATTAAAACTTTCTTGAATTTAAAGAAAGACCTCGAGTTCACATGCTCCGGGTTGGGTTGGGTCGGGATTTTTGGTCATGATGGTTAATGTGGCGACGAGTGACCTTCCCGACCCCAAAGAAAAGGGACAATTGCAAGCAAAACAAATTTATGGAGTGATTAAATATGTCGGTTAATTTAGAAACCAAGTTGAGATTCCCATGTTATGAGTATTAGGTGGCTGGCATATGAAAATTAGAACTGACACGACCAAAACTACAGGGCCGCCTGAGAATTTTACACCTGAAAATCAGAGCCATTTCTTATAGGCAACACCATTAAACGACACAGATGAATTCAAACTCATCTAAGAACACAACAACGCAGGGATAATAATTGAGAAAAAGAATTCATTTCTCAAACTAGTATAACTCAAATGAATCTCAATGTATGAACGAACTCATTGGCTCAGAATCAAAAGCCCAGCAAAAGCAGCAACCAAGACAGGAAAAAATGAGAGTTTTGTTGACAATGAGGACGAGGAAGAGCTGGAATTGGCCATGGGAGCTGCTGGGATTCCACCAAAAACAGTGGGGTAAGAGGGGGAGATTTCAGGAAGTGCACCATCAGAAGATGGAGCGCTTGCAGAAGAACCATTTCCAGAAAGCACAGAGATATGAAGCTTCTGATTCTTCTCACAGTGGCCTGCAACTCCACTGGTGAAGAACAGATCCCCATAAGTAGTGATATTGAAAACAGAGTTACCATCTTTCATGGACAAGATTGGATCCTTGAGATTGCAGCTGTTGTACGATTCCTTTGTAACTTGAATCACTGAATCTTGGCTTGGTGGATACAAGAACACTGCAACACACCGCCATGGAAATCAGAAATCAGAGCAGCAGCAACAGCAGATTTAAGAGATGAAGAAAAACAAATGTACTTACTCAGAGAATCACCAATCTTGAGAGAGTGATATTTAGACCAATACATATAGATCTTTGGATTTTCAGAAGTGGGAAGACCCCATGAATCCAAATCTCCAACTTTGTACTGATAGCAGATTACACTATGGATCTGCAACAAAATCACAACATGCTGAAGAAGAAACCTAAATCTAAGAAAGCTCTCAAGAATCGCCATAAGAGCTTGTCTCAACCCACCACCGCCACTTTTTTTGCCTCCCCTTCCACAAATCTACCTGTTTCTTGACAGCCAAAGAGGACCCTTTTAAAAGAGGACGTTTTTACATCACAGCTTGCTGCTGTCAAGTATGGCAGCAGACATAGAAGGAGCAAAAAGGCCACAAACAGAAGGGATTTTACCACAATGACCCCACTTCTGAAACTCCTAGCTTGATCTATATTATGTATTTCAGTTTTGACTATAAAAATTCAGAGGGCTAAGATGGGAAAATGAGACAAACATTGATCAATGATGGCACGTGATTCTGACCAATGAGAACAGAGAGTACCAAGGCCAACCTGTCTCCTTTCACATGGCCTAAGGATTTTATATAGCAATATAATTATGAATCCTGTAGCAAGATCAAGATGTAAAAGTAAAGGCACAGAGAAGTCAAAAACTAAGAACTGAGGCAAAGATCCAGCAGAGAAGAAGAAAAAGGACACTGAAAATGTCTGTACAAACAAAAATGGAAAGCATTAGAAAGTGCATAACCATATATGAGCACAATTCATGGATACCCACATCAAGAATTGCATTTCCAAGCTCTACTTATGTACTAGAAAGAACAAGAAAAGAGGCAAAAAGATAAAGCATATTGTGAAGAAGGATAAGTTTCTTCATTCGCTCCAGTACTTATCTTCTTCATCCTCTTCCTTGTGAGTAAGAGGCTGATCCAAATCCTCAGAGTCTTCCATTTCGCTCATTCTAAACTTCCTCACATCCTCAACAGCAGCAGTTCTAAACAAACCAATATCAACAGCTCCAGAAATCATCTGATATCCACGCTTCCTCATGTCAATTGGCCCATCATGAGGCATTGAAAACCCACATAAGAAGGCTCCCTTCTCACCATTTTTACTTTTACTTTTGCTCTCCAAAACAGCCTTTTCTGCCTTTCTCATCATTTCTCTAACCTTCTTGTGTCCAGGGTCCCATAGATATCCCATGCTTCCACTCATGTCCAATGGCCCCATTTGAATGCAATCAACCCCATCCACTTCCATTATGTCATCTATCTTCTTCACCGCTTGCTCCGATTCAATCTGACACATAATCAGTAATTCGTCCTCGTAATTTGTCAAATACCCTTCGTCAATGCCGTATTTCGATGCTCTAACCACTGGATGGGCCGATCCACGGACTCCAGCGGGTGGGAATCTGCAATATGAAACAGCTTTTTTCGCATCTTTGGACGAATCGATCATTGGAAACATGATACCCTGCGGTCCTAAATCTAGGGCCTTTTTGGCCCAGGCGGCGGAGCTCTCGGGGATGCGGAGAATGGCTGGAGTTTGAGTGGCGGAGAGGGCGCGGAGACAGGGGAGGGCATCAGAGATTCCGCCGTAGCCGTGCTCCATGTCGACGACGACGAAATCGTAGCCGGAGAGACCGGCGATCTCGGCAAGAGTGGGGGAGAAGGAGAGGAGGAAGAGACCGTAGAGGGTTTCGCCATTGCGGAGACGGGACTTCAATGTTGGATTGAAGGCAAGCGAAGGGGCGGCGAAAGAACTCGAGGAGTCAATGGGAGATGGAATTGAGGGTTTAGAGGAGGAATTGGAAGCAATGGGGAAAAGGGTCCGGAAAGGAGAAGAGGATTTGGGGAATGGAGGAGCGAAGGAGAAGGAGAGGGATTTGGCGGTGGGGTGAAGCCTGGAAGAAGAGAGGAATGGAGAAGTAAGGGTGAAGGAAATTGAAGAAGCCGCCATTGTTGGAGGAGCAGAGCAGAAGGAGATCAGTTTGAGATGAGGAAGGAAGAGCAAACCGTAGATGAAGAAGATGAGTTTGGTTTAGGGTTTTATTTTTTTAAATATTTAATTTTATTATTTTATTATTATTGTTATTTTGTGAGAGATCATCCCTCCATAGTCATTAAGGTTCATGGGTTTAAATTAATTTTTTTTAAATAAAGTAATATGTTAATATATAAAATATTTATTTATTTTTAAATATTAAATTAAAAATTGTAATTTGGAATAATTTTTCCTCGTTAAATAAATATGTCAACAAAGCTAGACGAGATCCCTTTTCGTTCTTCAACCAGCAGTCCAAAAACCTTACCGCTAAACTGCCAGTTTTATAAACTTCAAGATCAAATAGAAACTTATCCTCGTACTCAAGAATAAAAGTGTAATCTACCCGTGTTTATTCAAGCTCTTTTGAACAAAAAAGATTAGTAAAATAATTGTTTAAAGAGTTTCCATACCGAACAAATTCAAGTGTTTTGACAAAGCTGAATGACAACACAACTATATATTAATACATATGACGTAATCGATCTAAGCATAGCTAAGTTGATTAAGATATATACCCTCAACTAAAAGGTGAAAGCCAAAGATTTGAATTACCAGTAATCCTGCCCTCATCTGTTTCGTGGCCGTATGCTTTGAGGCATCTTTTGGTACGAGTAAATTACAGATCTACAATGATAAATGTACGAAGAAGCCACACCTGCGAGCGGAAATGCAAATAAGTAATGAATAATACCATAGGATGTGTACTAATTTTGAACTCATCCACCTCCGGATCAACATTATAAGTTGGATGTATCCCTTCTAAACCTGTTTGTATAAAACAAGCATGTTAAAGGATGAAAGTCCCATGTCGGCTAATTTAGGGAATGGTCATGGGTTTATAATCAAGAGATACTATCTCCATTCGTCCGAAGCCTTTTGGGGAAGCTCAAAGCAAAGCCATGAAGGTTTATACTCAAAATGAACAATATCATACCATTATGAAGTGTTCATCTACGCACGGTTTATAATTAGAGGGTGTGAGTATAGGTAGGTTGACACATACAAACAGAAAGGAAGAGTAGAAAAAGCCCCAGGCCAGCCTGCTTTTTGCAAGCTTCTTGTTTTGGGTCCTTGGAAATAAAAATAATAATTCATTATTATTACATATGAACAAATAAATATAAATGTAGGAGGCCGATTCACAAACTTAAGGACACTTTTTTTTCCCATCTCATGGCCATCCAGACAATAACAAGATTAAAATTTGAGGGCTTACTGAGCAATATATGAGAGTTTTTTTGGCAATGATGGCCACTCTGGATCAGGGATCTCAACTGATCTTGAATTATGCCAACTCTTGAAGAACCAGATGGAGAAAATTGATTGCTGGCTTTGTCTCAGCGACAGAGCTTATCAACACGCCAACAATCGACATTATCGAAAGAGTAGAATGTCCAAAAACAATTTACTGCTTAATTATTGCTCTCTCCCAGATGTATATAGTGGCGTACTTTACAGCATTCGTCGCACGGGACGTGCCCTTTCAGACGTTCTCTTCCCTCTTGATCTCGTTTTCTTCCTGGCCAGATGCTGAGTTGAACTGCTCTTGTAACTGAAGGCCAAAAATTGAACATGAGTTTGTCAATGAGAAATGAAGTAGGCATCAATTTAATTATGCTTGGTGCAAGTGTGAAAGACGGGTTTATAAGCAAGCAAGGGCAACAACACTTGGATCGGTTTTGGGTTCAGATGATGAAGGAGCTACTTTTCGGTAATTCGTGGTAGGAGTAGCAATGGTGGCGTCGACAAGTTTTAGGTAAGCCCTGATACCAGATTGGAAATTTGGAAATAATGCTCTACGTTTCTTATTGCTAATCGAAGTACTGAGCTCTCTTAAATAGAGAGAAGAACACGAGATAGATATAAACTATGATGATTACAACAGCCCAATCTTATATGACCGGAGAAGTTAGGTGTGTTAGACGAACACGACTCTCCACAATAGTATGATATTGTCCACTTTGAGCATAAGCTCTTATGGCTTTGCTTTAGGTTTTCCCAAAAGGCCTCACACCAATGGAGAGAGTATTCTTTGTTTATAAATCCAAGATCATTCCCTAAATTAGCCGACGTGGGACTTTCATCATCCAACACCTCCCCTCGAACAAAGCACACCTCCCCTTAATTGAGGCTCGACTCCTTTGGAGTCTTAGTCATTTTTTACTGCCTTCGAGGAGGCTTGACTCCTTTTTTCTTTTGGAGTCATTTGTTCGACATTTGAGGATTTACCAATCTATTGGCACGACTAAGTTTAGGGCATGGCTCTGATACCATGTTAGACGAACACCATATTCTTTGTTTATAAACCCATGATCATTCCCTAAATTAGCCGAGTGAAACTAAATCAACTCTATAAATGCTAGGTGAAGTAAACAAGAAAACTAAAATGGTAAATACAAGTCAACTAGGAAGAAAGATCATGGACAACTCACTTGTATGTATTTCAACTTTTCAGAAGTCAACTCATAAGTCAAATGCGTCATTCTGGAAAGAAAAAGAGGGTCACAGATAAATATCCACTACAAATATGGTCTAATACATCTATAGAACTTTGTTGTTCATGGACATTCTGGAAAAATATTCATAACAAAATTCTAAGAAACTCACCTAGCTTGAAGTTCAGAGACTTTACGCATCAGTAAACGCTCTCTCTCAACCGCTGCTGTTTCGGCCTGCCAAAAGAGGATCTCTACGTATCAAAAAGGGTGAGGTTCTTTATACCTACCTATCCCCACTCACACCAATTTTTCAATAAATTTCATTTGCCCTAGTTTCTACACATTCATTTTCTTGTTTGCAGTCGTATAATCAAGTTGAGGTTGCCACATTTATAAAAGCATATAAATGTAACTTCTTAAGATTTGTATGTCAAAGATCTCTTCAACTAATTGCATGAGGACAGGCATTATTTGTCAGTAGCTCCCTCAAATCACCACATCATATATATGTAGAAGTTCTAACAGTATTTAAAAATGCATTTATGAAAATCCAGTAAGAGACATACTTATATAAAAGAGAATATCATGCCAAATTAAATCTACAAAAACAAAGATAGTCTGAATTACAGCCCCATTTGAGCAACTGAACACCATTACTTACAAGAAAAGTTCAAACAAAATGACTTTGAACGTAAAAACTGTGTTTTAGGTCAAATGAAAGAGTACTACCTATTAATCAACCAAATATTTTCTAGAAGCAATACGGTCGAACGTATACAAAGGAGCAGTAACAAAGCTCTCATATCAAACGACAAACAAATATTTTTGAGAAGCAATATGGCCTAACATATACAGAGGGGCAGAAATAAAGCTCTCATATCAAACGACAACCAAATATTTTCTAGAAGCAATATGGCCTAACATATGCAGAGGAACAGTAAGAAAGCTCTCATATCAAACGAAAACCAAGGAGGTGTGATTTTCCGTAACCACAACTTACATAAGCAAATCAATGGTAAATCAGAACTATAACTAAACAAGTGGTGAGGGATGAAGAGGAAAGAAGTGGAAAACAAAGCTTGTACAGAAAGAAAGCGTGAAGACTCAAGATAATGAGCTAAATAAGAAAAGCTTGCTTGTGTCTGTTTTCTTTTACTTCCTTCACCCTAAATAAGCCAAAAATATAGTTAACAACAATAATCAATACGCGCAGGCAAGAAAATAAGAACACATTATCAAGGGAATAATCACGTTGAATAACATTTTTAGTGATTACAATTTGCATGAGAATATCAGCTACGGTTTTACAAACATTTCTGAAGACAGTTTCGATTGGAATATTGAATATGTGCTAAGCAGTTGAAACAACACATGTTCATATGTGGACTCTAAAACGATAATATTAGAATGAGTTCTTGCCCTCTACAGGGCAGAACATGAATTTTCTGAACTCGGAGGCATACACAATAATAAACAATAATAAACAAGACTATGATCCTGATTTCATTATAACAGAACAAAAAATCTAAGCCAACTTAAAGTATATAGTTGAACGTATATAAAATGTACACTGATTGCACTTACACTTCCATTATTCTCCAAACTTCGAGGCAATGGAGGCAACTTTCCATTTTGAGTAGCTTGTATTTAGAGAGGGGGAAAAGTATCACACACACGTTAGGTAAAGAACCCTAATAATATAAGATGATCATGTCAGCCATCCTATAAAACCATTTTACTTACCATCAACCACGTCTGCTGTTTGTAAGCTATTCAATAAGTTCACTATAAGATCCTGGAATCAACAGAAAAGCTTGTTTCTTACTGAACGAAATTCTTTGATGAAGGAATTTAGGAGACTGAGGGAAAAATTCAACCATAGCCTTAATGTTACTTTACCTGTTGAATTGAGGTCTGATGGAAAAGATTCTGAAGATGAGGCATAAGAATTGATGTGGGCATGTTGATGTTGCAAGCCTCCTTGGGGGGTTGGCTGACAGACTGAGAACAGAGAAATTAATATAATAAGAATAAACAAAGGTTTATTGATTCATACAGAAAGCATATAAAATAGAGTTTTTTCTCTTTTTTTTTTTTTTTTGACAAAAAAAACAGCTATATTGATGTATAAAATTTACGGGAAAAAAAGTGAAGAAAGCCTGCAATCCAAGGGAGTTAACATTAAACTTTTCTAATAGGTTTTTTTCCTTAAATTAAATAACTGAAACACATTCTAAATATTAAATGATGTTTATAGATAAACAACAAATATACCTTGTGGCAGGTCTCCAAAGCAACCAACAAGAAAGCAAGAAAAAGAACAGGTTTACAAAAATAATTATCCAGGGAACAAATGCATCAGTATACGATACTTGTAGACCAAAATACAAAACATTTTTTTTGCCTAAAAGTACTTTTGCATTACAGTAATCATATGGAGACGAAGCAAGCAGGGACATTATCCAAACCTGCTTGGAATCAAATATCCAATCACCAACACTAGCCGACTTTCGTAGAGGTGAGTTCTGAACACACATCAATGTAACAGAATTCAGAAAATGAACATCAACTAACCCAGGTCATTAGCAAGAAATGATAACAAACCTGTGCAGACCGTCGTGAAACCATGCTCAATGGAATATCCTAAGCCATATTTCAAGTCAGTTCCAGACAGGTTGTATAAAAAATTAAAATTATTGTATAACCTTACCTTTACGAGATCTAGGTTCTCTGACGTCACTGAAAAACGCCCCTTAATTTGCACAAGATTAGCTTTTGATTTGTCATCCATTGAATCTCTATACCCTGTTGTTACAAGAGGAATAAAAATATACAGTGAGAAAATACAGGTGAAAGTATTATTTTCACGATATATAACAGTAAGTGTCACTGTATTATTCAAAACAAGAATAAAGTAGATAAAAATGAGATTATGATGAGATCAAGATGCAAGCCATGCTATGCTTTAAACTGATTAGCCCAGGATCTATGTGATAGGCCCCAAAATATTTTGTCAACTTCAAAATGATTTCATCTATGAATCGGTTGGATGTATTCTCTTTAATTGAAAAGATTATGTTTCATTTAGCCAAAAAAAAAAAAAAAAAGGATTGAATAAATGTGATTCAATCTTGACTATCAATTAAAAGTTAAATATGAGATCTTTAACACATCTAGTAAATAGCTATGGAAAGAAAAATAATCACAAACGAAGCTGCTTGATTTTTTCTAGTATTTTATCAGTGAGAATGAAAGTTTCTATTTCACTACAACAAAATTTAGAAGAAAAACTAGTTCAAGAAACAAAAACAACAGGACCTCAAAACAGGGTCAAATACGTTAAGACAACTTTAGCCACACTCCGCTGGCTCCTCATTCTAAATCATTATGTAGCGATGGTACAATTTTTTCCTTTTTTTTTAATCACAAACTAGGCTTCCCTTACATACGAGAGCAACAGTAGAACAGTCTGGGTTTAATGGCATTTCCTAGTAAACAAAATGTTTATCAAGTGACCACATTACCTCCAGAAGGTTTTATGGGAGCTGATAGGCTGTTTGCTGAGGCACGGTTTGGCAGCATTAGTGGACCACTGAAGCTTGGAGCTTGCCGTGATTCTCGACGATTTTTTTCAGTAGATGGTTGAATTTCAGATTCAAACCTAAAAATCAGCAACACAAATATCATTGCAACTGTCATTGCAATAAACCAGCTCGAAACAATAAGTTACTTAATTCATGTAAAGGGTAATCAGTTCTTTTATCTCTTCTTGTTCCACCCAACCCTTGATCTGAATCAGGTAGATAACTATAGTTCAAAATTAATAACATGGCTTCACTAACAAAATATAAATCCTTCGTTTTTTTTTCCCTTTTTCTTGTTGGGAAGGCCTGAAATTAATTCAAACGGAATACATTTTACCAATAAATTTTAAAAAGTGGCCTCTGCTTAAAAAGAAAAATTACAAAAGGTGGCCTTTACCAAAGAACTTTGAAGTTCTTCAGTCAAAAAAGGGATCAAAGACTCAAAGAGATTGATTTTGATAGAGAGGTCAAAACTGGATTCTTCTTCATTGCTACAGTGAAGGTAGGTCAGACAAAATTGTGTGGTTGCAAGAAAATTTGGGCTTCTCTTGCACATCTACCTCTGATAGCAAGATCCCAAGACTGAGTTTGCCTCCTACCAGGTTAATTTAGACTAGTAAGGGGCCAAAGAAAGTTAAATTTTTCCACGATGGTCCAAGGCGGAGCTGTTATTCTCATTCTCACTAAGTCTGCATCCATGTAAAAAGAACGAGATAATGATGAAGTTTGCTATGAGATGGTTTCACTAACACCAACGCCTCTCTAAATTTGTGATGGCTTTCTGTGCCCTAGAGATACTGCAGACTGGCTCACAAAGATTCCCTTGGTAGTGGCTAAACAACACCGCTAAAATGCTTTGCCATTGTGGTACTAAAACCTTTTAATAATGCCAATCAAAATTGAAATAAATGCAATAGTTTTTGAAGAAAGGCCGGTTGGGAATTTTTGGCATAATCATAGAAATAAGATCTTCCTCCCAACACTTCAACGCCATTATTCATATAGCACTATTTGGGTTTGGAGGAGGGATATGAAGATGATATCTGGCAGGAATGACAACAGATAAAGACTGTCGGGTATTTTACAAGAAAGCAAAAGGCTTACAAAAAAGAAAAATCTTTGTTAAAATGAAAGCAAGATTCTCATGCGTTAATCCACATTTACTCTAGCACGAAAACATTCTATAATAAGTAGGAAGTACATTTCTATCATCATGCTTATGCAATGAGAAAAACAAGGTACCGTACAGGAGTGCATAAACATCACTCCTGCATACCAGCATCATCTCAAGAAGCAACATGAGAAAACAATGAGACTTACAAATACGAAACCATGAAAAAGTACAAACCTATCAGATCCTCGCACTCTTTCTGATAAAGAATGACTAAGCACAGTACCAGGTAGAAGTGGACCACTTTGAGTTTGACGACCTTTTGGCATTTGGGTTTTGGTTTTGCCTTGTACACTGTCTTGGCCAGATGTAGAAGCTTCTGTTTCAGTGCTAGTTCCATTTCTCTTCCATCCAGTTGTTTCTTGGAACCCAGCTTTCAGCATATCACCTTCCATAAAGTTTCCCTTTTTGTTCAAGCACTCCGCTTTTGGCAACCCCTGACCACTTGCCCCTACTCCATGTTCATCCTGAGATGATTCATTACATGAACTGAAATTCCTCAAACTAGATTGAGAACAAAAGGCATCCTGACAATTACAAAGAATACAAATGAGCACATCAAACGAATAGAATACTTAATGAACTCGCAGAAAGAAAAGATTGAAGTTGGTAAAACTCTAGACCTTAACACGACAAGTATTTATATTCTCCTCCTCGTCCATCATCTCTTCCATATCATCATTCACCTATTCATTAATATAAAAATCAATGACAGAACTCATATTCTCTAACAAAAGGCCTGTAATCGTAATCAATTTGAATTTGTAATATGATCCATAGCGCAGCAAGGAAAAGTGACATTTACCAGGGAAGCTTGGGCTTTCAAATCCTCAACATCAAATTTCCATGCGCTAACTCCTCGCTGGTACTCACTCTGGTGAAGGCAAGACATGATACATCCAGTAAAAAAAAAAATTAAAGAAAAAGACTGTGCACGGTGTAAAAAGTATAAAGAATTCCCCTTTTTCTTGATTGAAAAAATTGGAGAATGTCTTAAATGTAATGGTAGAAAAGAATAGACAAAGAACCACCATGTAGGAACAACGAGAGTGATAACTAGGGTCATTGAATTGTCATGGCACAGACAATACCAACACTTCCCATAAAACCTTGCGAAAACGCAATTATATAGGATAGACTCCTCGAGTTAAAAATGAGAAGAAAGACCTCACCAAATATTATTCACGGACAACAGGAGCTATAAAATGAATTTACTTGAACAAGTAGACTGAACTGATTTATATGTATGTACATAAATAAAACAGAAGAAGAAGAAATATTTCCAACCTGTGATAATGCTTCTTGCTCTGCTGAAGGCATTTTCTTTAAGGCTAGCTGGGCAGCATCTTTAAGCTGAAACATTAATTAATCCATCAGATTAACAAAACCACGACATATTTGTTGTAAAGCAGTTAAGAGGTTACCAGCAGGTCCTTCACACGAAGTGAAAGAGGAGGCAAGTCAGCAAATAATTTCTTCAAAGAAAGCTCTGGAGGCTTAGCATTCTTGAAAAAGGAGTGCTTTAAAAGTTTCTCAGCTGTTGGCCTCTTGGATTGATCTTTCACCAGGCACATTGCAACCATTTCTTTAAAAGACTGATTACAACTGGAAATCCACTAATTAGAATACATCTATTGAACATTTACAAAGTACGATTCATGGCTTTGGTCCAGCAACTTTTAACCTTTTAATATGCAGAATACATTTATTAAACATTTACAAAGTACAATTCAGGGCTTTGGTCCAGCAACTTTTAACCTTTAAATGTGTAGAACACCTAATATGGAATTATTGGTAGTCTTGGATTAAAATGCAGAATTGCCGTAGGATGGAAGATAAAGCTATTCTTGAGTTCAAAGAGCATATATACAATAAAAAGTGAGCTGAAAGCCAGACTAGGTGCATATAAGTAGATGAATCAAAGCTACAAAAGACAGGAAGATAAATATCAAATTTTGTTTGTGGGCTGGGTAGGATCTCATTAGTCAGTCTTAGACCCTTAACAAATGCTTGAGCTTTAGAACATAGTAGCTAACTAGGCCTATATTAAAAATGTTGCATCACTGGGATGGTAAGCTACCTAAAACTGGTCAGCACAATCCCAAGCTCAAGAAAGCATATAGAGGAAATATATGTTGAGGATTATTGGGATTGGGAGTGTCCCACATTGGTTAATTTAGTGGAAGATCATGGGTTTATAAGTGAGGAATACTATCTTCATTGGTATGAGGCCTTTTGGGGAAGCCCAAAGCAAAGCCATGAGAGCTTATGCTCAAAGTGGACAATATCATACCATTGTGGAGAGTCGTGATTCCTAACATGGTATCAGAGCCATGCCCTAAACCTAACCATGCCAATAGAATCCTCAAATATCGAACAAAGAATGGCGAGCCTCGAAGGTGTAGTCAAAAGTGACTAAAGTGTCGAACAAATGGTGTACTTTGTTCGAGGGCTCCAGAGAAGGAGTCGAGCCTCAATTAAGGGGAGGCTATTCGAGAGCTCCATAAGCCTCAGGGGAGGCTTATAGTGTGCTTTGTTCGAGGGGAGGATTGTTGAGGATTATTGGGATTGGGAGTGTCCCACATTGGTTAATTTAGTGGAAGATCATGGGTTTATAAGTGAGGAATACTATCTTCATTGGTATGAGGCCTTTTGGGGAAGCCCAAAGCAAAGCCATGAGAGCTTATGCTCAAAGTGGACAATATCATACCATTGTGGAGAGTCGTGATTCCTAACATGGTATCAGAGCCATGCCCTAAACCTAACCATGCCAATAGAATCCTCAAATATCGAACAAAGAATGGCGAGCCTCGAAGGTGTAGTCAAAAGTGACTAAAGTGTCGAACAAATGGTGTACTTTGTTCGAGGGCTCCAGAGAAGGAGTCGAGCCTCAATTAAGGGGAGGCTATTCGAGAGCTCCATAAGCCTCAGGGGAGGCTTATAGTGTGCTTTGTTCGAGGGGAGGATTGTTGAGGATTATTGGGATTGGGAGTGTCCCACATTGGTTAATTTAGTGGAAGATCATGGGTTTATAAGTGAGGAATACTATCTTCATTGGTATGAGGCCTTTTGGGGAAGCCCAAAGCAAAGCCATGAGAGCTTATGCTCAAAGTGGACAATATCATACCATTGTGGAGAGTCGTAATTCCTAACAATATATTCACACAAAAGCAACATTTTCTTGTAGGAATAAACTTTTCATCCATATATAACAGTATTTTACATAATAATATGACAGTAGTTGATTGGATAACTCCAGTCATGAGGGGAAAAAAAACCAACGAAACACCAATACCTTAGAGAACTTTTTATCCCTATCATAATCCAGCCCAGGAGGAGCATTTTGTATGGTCATAAGAAGCACCTATCAGAAAAACAAGGGAAAAGGGGACGGAATAAAATGCAACTGTCAGACGAGATAGTAAGATATCGTGGGTAAAGCTCAGTTATGTATAAGTCAACATACCTTCATTGGAGGATATTTTGAAAATGGTGCATGACCATGAGCCAACTCCAATGCTGTAATACCAAAAGACCAAATATCGGCCCTGCATATAATGATGAAAGGCATATATGAGAGGTCTCCCTACATTATTTTTGGGAGTATTTGGTACTCGATGGTGAGGGAGGAGAAACGGGTAAACCCATGTTACCAATTTAGCATTGGCATCCAAAACACATGAAAAAAAAAATTGAACAAAATCTAATTACTTCGTTTAACTCATTAGACGTTAATTATTCATTTTATAATAAGAAAGATTTAATTTCAAATTCAGCACAAGTAATTTATTCATCAAATATTGCTAAAGAACTCAATTCAACTTCATACAATTAATTACTTATTACAAATATTGTTATATTTTAGGCCATAAATAAATGAGAAATTTCAAAGATCTCATTCATATAGGACTTTACACAAAAGAAAAATAATTATAATAATAGTTCATAAATACCAACCAAGATCATTCTATTCCAGGCATCATATCTCAAGTTCCAAATTTCATTCTTAAAAACCAAACACTCCCTTACAGTTTTCTACTGAAACTGTCGACCATCTTTGCTTTGAACAAGTCAGGAAAATAGAGGTCCATTAATAAATAAATAAATAAAAGTTGCACAAGTACGAGACACGAATAGATCAAAACAGATTTCAAGGGCGTGAGGTAGAACTTTTGGTGGAGATTCTTAGACTGCATGAGAATGTTCATTTTCAAGGGAGTGAGATAGAAGACTTTGGGGACTCAAGCCATCTGCATTTTTTTTTTTTATGAAATCATGTTTCAGAGAGTCATTATGCCCTAATTCTTTAAGTAAACAATGACCTAGTGAAGGTCATTTGGAAGGAAAGATGCCCAAAGAAGAAAGAAACTATTGGTGAGGAATCTTTGCTTTAGTGGCTGACAATATAGAAAGGTTCAATTACAATGTCCAAACTAGGCTCTAAATCCCTGTTGCTGTGTGCTTTACCTAAAAGATGCATAATCTCAAAATCACTTTTTTTTTTTTCAGTGTCCTATCAGTTTGAAATTTTGGTCTCTTCTATTATGCTCTTTCAGGGTTGGTGGGGTGCTTTGCTTTTCTGTCAAAGAAAACACAGCATTTGTTCTGCAGCCACAGGTTCAAGGGTGTCTATAACTTCTATGGGAGCAGGTGCATATAGGTTGGTTGCAACTTTTGTCTTATCAATGAAACTTTTGTCTTCACACACAAAATAACATTAAATAAAATTATTTGCCACGATGGGAATTGGGGAAGCATGTAATAACTGAAACAAACAGCATTCAATCCCCGAACACTGGGCATAAAAGGATCTAGAACTCTATAGTATGTCCTCAATAGCATGAAACAAAAAACTATTAACTCATTGTGACAATAACCCTGGTAATTGTACGATAATATGTGATCTGCAGTCAATATCAGACAAACTCACTTGGAATTATATCCCGTTCCTGGTTGCAATACCTCGGGCGCCATCCTAAAATAAAGTTAAATAGGTAAATACTTGGGGATCAAAAACACAAGAAGGTTGAAAAGTATCCGCCTAAAAAAATCCTACCAGCATGGGGTTCCCACAAAGGTATTTCTGGAGCGCTGTCTATCACCTGTATCAAACATGCAAGCTGAAACACCAAAATCAGCAAGCTTCACAGCCCCATTACCATCGAGTAGTATATTTCCAGCCTGCAAACACAAATATTAAAAGAATAATAAAATAAGAGCCTTCACAATGTACAGTTAAGATTGAATGGGAAAAAGGAAAACACCAAGAGTTAATCTGAAAATTATGGTGTCAATGGACCTTCACATCCCGATGTATGTGTCCTTGTCGATGAAGGTACTCCAAGGCTTTAAGAGTTTCTTTCAGGACAGAACCAATAGCAACCTCTTCAAAGCCATCTGAGTATGCTGTCTTAATTAGGTGCAAACAAGAACCCTCTGCCATGAATGGCATGACAACCCAAAGGTTTCGGTCAACAACAAATGAACAATAAGCCCTTACGAGGTTTGGATGATCTATCAAACTCATTGTTTGAGCCTCCCTACGTATATCATCCTGTCAAAAGACAATCCTCTCTTATAATTAGACATAATGAAGTGTCACTAACTTAAAGTTGTTATAGTATCAATTAAAAGAATTCTGAGTAAGCATTTAAAGACTAAAACAAAAGTGGTTAAGAAAAAAAAAAAAAAAACTGAGAAGGTAAACAGAAAAATATGAGAAACACAAGAAAGCCAAAAAATAACATTAAGAAACCACAATATAAATAATCCATTGGTGCCGATGTTCAAAATACTGTGGTACGGAAGAAACCAGCATCCAATGTTCAAAATACTGGGGACCCCGCATATCATTACCATTACAAAAAAGTATTTCACAATCAAGAGATGGGAGCCATGACCACCTTTCGGTGCGCGCTACTCAATCTATTGTCTTATGACTTTGGGAGAAACTTGGGAAGGTTATTGATTATACCTGCGTTCCAAGCAGATGATAAGAGCGCATTTCCTATCCCTTTTTTTTTTTATTTTCGTAGCAACAATATTATCTTAGTATCTTATTAACAAAGTTAGAGAAGCCAGAGGGAAACTTTCATAACTTTATCACTTTACAATAGCAGAAAATATAGAAACCATTCTATAGGGAACTGAGTTTGTTCTCTTTGATATGGTATTAACATAACATATTGACTAGGTTTCTACTATCTAGGATTTCTTGCAGGCTCGGTCAATAAATAAAGCCAGCCTTCAGCATAACACCACCCACCCCAATGCTAAAATCATTCAGTTCTTCAACCTGCTCATGAAAAATGGAGATATTGATCATCCCAAGCTTTCTTGACGCCATTTATCTCCCACATCCACGGCATATATTTTCACAGTAATCTTCATCTCTATCTACCTCAAGGCTCAAACTTTCCGATGAGGTAAGTACCACAAATTTCTAGTGAAATATTTGTTAAACCAAAAATTAGGCCCTCGTTCCTTGCTTGCCAGTGTAGCGTGAATCAATCACGAAAATACGGAGCCGAAGAACAATTACACTGAAGTCACTTCAGTTTGTATACATAAACTAACCTAAAGCCTAAACACAAAAGTTTTCGTGTACAACAATACCCATGTCACAAAATTTCTACCCGCAAAACTTGGGAAAAAACAACAAGCACCTCTGTAAGAACTCAAACCAATTAAATCAACAACAATTCAAACCCGATCTTTCACAAACACAAAATGAAAGGTCAATTAAACTATTACAGAAACACAAAATGAAGCCAAATTGACAACAATTCAAAGCAGAAACAAGAGAAGAGCATCAAAGCAAGAGTGGAAAACTCACTAGATTACTATTACAGCGATCAAGATCCAAACACTTAATGGCAACAACTTCATTGGACGGAGTATAGATCGCTCGAAAAACCGTGGCACTAGCACCATAACCAATCTCTTCAAGAAGCTTATAATCGGTGGAATTGGCGCTGTAAGTCCTTTGCCGACCTCCCATCCTTCCCATAACCTAAAGAGCACTTGACAAGCAGAAAAACTCCTACCGGAAAACCACTGTAGAGTAGAAAATCAGTGAAAAGAAGTTGTCCAGAGGTGTGGCGATAGAGCAATCGGGTCGTTGACCGCCATTAGAAGCGGTAGAGAGAGAAAGAGGAAGAGAGGAGAGAGAAAGAGAAGAAGAAGAAGATGTGGGGGTGAAGGTGCAGAGAGAGAGAGAGTTAAAGGGTGATGACGTGGCAACGGCCCACACAAGAGCAAAGGAAAATGGCATTCTTCAAACCAGCAGCCCATTGGTGATGCCAACCAAAGTCTTTCCAAAGTACTCATTCTAAATAGTTCCTTCCATGCTTTCTTTCTCCCTTTTGTCTTAAATTATTGCCCGTTCCATTGTTCAACGCATCGTATCATCGACTCAAAAGCTTATAAGTTAATATATCGTTGATCAACGGGTCGGAGTAAAGATGTCTATTTAATTTGTCGAGTAGAAACCAGCCCCAAATAAGACGGAGATTCTTCGTTTAAACAGGGAATAAAAGAGGGAGTAGAGAGAGATTTCTCCATGTTGAATAAAATGGGTCGGGAACGCCCCGTCCCCGCCCCGTTTTAAATAGAGACATAGAGAATTTTGACAGGATGGAGAATGAAATAGATGGTTGAGATGGGACGGGAAGCCTCCACCCTGCCATGTGGACATCTCTAGGTTAGAGGCTCGAAATGTCTCGTTTTTCACACTAAAAGGTTGAGATGCAAAAGGAATAAGAGAAAAGACCTCGTGGTTCATGATGTTATTTTGTCAATATTTTTATCTCTTTGGTTTTGACCCGTTACCTCTTGAAAAAGTCATACTTACTTTTATTTTTATTCTTTTTACAAATGTCACCCTTTATTTTAGCATAATTTGAAAGTGAAAATCTTGTATTTTACGAATGACACACCACAAATAATTTTTTTTTTTTTTTTAAAAAAAAACTATAGCCCATTAAAAAATAATAATTATCTTTTTCGATCTTTTCTCGGTACTCGGGAGGGAGGTAGACTATAGATTGAGACGAAACCGTAATAGAGCATAAGGAATTTGATTTGAGCCAGAATCCGAATCGGGGAGGTGATAACAGGATTTGGGTCATGTATTTATATTTTTATTTTTAATAAAGGTAAAATATTAGTTCGTAAAATATTTATTTATTTATTTTCAAACATTTAATTAAAATTTGGAATTCTTTGAATTAGGTAGATCGAATTTTTTAAGCATTTTTATTTAGAAGTGATTTATAGCATTTCTCGATGCAGTCATCATATCTTGACTATGACGTGCTACATTTTGTTACACGATTAATAAAAATAAAAAATAAATAAAAATGTCTCAGAGAGAAAAAGAACTAACTACTATTTTCCTTACCTGAGGGGATTAGGCTGTGATTCATACCCCTGTCGTTTGCTTTCTGCTAAGTATCCATGTTTGGCTTGTTTATTAACTTCTTGATCCATACGACAATCCTCACTCGGTTCCTTAGCAAAAACTTTGTAGGAGCAAGGTTCCTTGTAAGGGATTCGAAGGATGATGCCAAATCAAGTGAGGGACTTCCATGTGATGGACAAGCTATGTGAAGAAGATCGACTAATTTTCTTAGTTGTTGCTCTGTTGCCCCTATAATGATCATCGAAAGCAATGGAGTCTTTTGGTCTATAGTTATTGCTATGGTGGAGAAGTTCCAGTTCAGGTGAGGTGGGTGGTTTTATTCTGCCATGGGAGCGGTGGAGAAGCGTAGTGTTCATGAGGGAAGGATGAAGGGGAGGGACGAGGGTGAAAGAGAACAGATAGATGAGGGGATTAGGCTGAATATGTAAAAAGTTCAACCGGTTAAAAGATAGCAATCCTCCTATAAGTAAAAAATTCAAACTCTAATAACATAAATTTAACCAAACATAACTTGATTGGTTAGAACGTTTGTAACGTTCTTCAAAAGTCGTAAACTCGAACTTCGAATCTTGACCCGTACTTATGCCATTAAAGCAAACTCGTGAAGTGAAATGGGTATCGAGACATAGGACATAGTCATTATAAAACAATGCATGTTTATGTAGGAGAAAAGAACACGAGGATTGTACAAACACTATTACAAAACCAAAGGCATGTTTAACCAACCACCATGAACACTATCCTTTGTCTTCCTCTTTTAAGTTCTTGTCTATGATCATCTTCATTCTCTCACCTCCAATTTCACAATTTATTCAAACAAGTTTTTGCGATAAATAATAGAAACCCGTGATTAAATAAGAGAATTGCTAATCCTAGGTCCCGAAGGGGGATGGATTGTGAGATCTCACTCAGTTGGAGACAAAATAAAGGAAAAACTCAAAGACAATATCTGTTAGCGGTGGATTTGGGTCATTACAGATAACCATTTCAAAAAGATAATTTGTGTTATGCGTAAACGGTTAAGGTATAATCATCGACCAAGCAGTTAAAGATTCGAATTCCACTTCTGAAAAATAAACTAGTATATATATATACTAGACGTTTGGTAATTTCTCCTCCGACCAGAATAAAAGATCCCATTGAAGCGGCTAATATATATATGACATAGACTATGACATTGGTCTCTATATTATCTTATCATAATTTTAAAATTTTGAAAATTAAGATGATTTATGGGTTTAAGAAGGCATCAATGAGAGTGAGGATCACTTCGAAACTCGTTGAGAATAGGCATTTTAGGGCTAGATCTAAAAGCTCTCTAACGTGGTGCAAATTCTTCGACCATGAGAGGCTCTCTTGGCAGCCATGTGAAGCTTAGCTTACTATAGCATGCAGCCGCACGATGGTTCAACGGTGGTAGGCGTAGGAGCGCTAGGTGAAGTAGTAACAAAGATCTGGTGGTGATATCAGTGCACTGTAAGCATACTAGCTCCCTCGGGTTTGCTCTTTGACAATGTTTAGTCGTGGAGGAACTCGTAAAAGTCGTAAAATTTACTTAGAAACCAAACCAAAAGTCCATTTTGATTTCCAAAGTTTGGCAGCCGCCCATAGCATTTGGTCATGCTAGCTAGAACAGAAAGTCTTTTGGGTGCTTTCATTTCAACGGTGAAAATTCATAATTTTACACCCATTACGGTTGGTGTACTGACCTCCATCATCAACTATCAGTGTTCTTCCCATTTTACTTTTCACCCCTACCACAATTCATAACCTATTTTTACCACAATTCATAACCTATTTTTACCACAATTCATAGATTTTCAATTTTATTATCCATCTTTTTTAGGACTAAATTAATAGTTTTCTATGGTTGTCAAGTTCTACAGATAAAAATATCAAATAATTCAATTAAAGTTTCCATGAAATTAATTCGAAGCTCACTTCAAAGAGACCAGAAACATGTATTAAGCACTGGAAAAGCACCCCAAAAATTTTGAGTTCCAATTTGGAGAAATGAATACTCAATCTACTATAAGCAAGCATAATATAAACATCAAGGTAATATAAGTAATAAATTTTCATACTTGATAATAGTCATCAACCCGTTACAATGCCAGCCAAAACGTCGTTCTTGCCTCGAGCATAGATTGTATAAACTAATCTAACTGCATCAAGCCATCCGTCGAGCGCATCCCATGAGTCAGCAACCTGATATATAATAGATAAGGTGATCATATAAGTTCATAATTGTTGGTCATAATAGTGTATGTGTTATGGTCCACGAAATGGTACAGGGATATGGTACGATGTAAGTTGAGTAACCAAACGAAACTATGGGAGTCTCAATGTGATCAGTGGACTCACTCTAATAGTAGTTTGCTACTCGAACATATCAGACATGATAATTTTTCAGATATTGTAAAATTGAGGGTTCAATGTTCAAAAGATCTTTCTTTTCTTTTTGTTATTATTCTCTTTTTCGTTACTATTAACTTTTCTTTTACTTTTTCTTCCCCTTTTTTCATGAGTGTCTAGGTTAGTTTGGGCATACCTCGATTATTTTCATGGAACAGTCTTTTCAGCCAACTACATTCGACTTTTTTTGTGAGTGTCTAGGTTAGCTTGGCCACTTTCATGGAAAATCTTTTCAGCCACCTACATTCGGTTTTTTCGTGAGTGTCTACGTTAGCTTGGCATATCTCAACTATTTTCATGAAACAATCTTTTCAGCCAACTATATTCGGTTTTTTCATGAGTGTCTAGGTTAGCTTGGCCACTTTCATGGAAAATCTTTTCAGCCATCTACATTCGGTTTTTTCGTGAGTGTCTACGTTAGCTTGGGCATATCTCAACTATTTTCATGAAACAATCTTTTCAGCCAACTATATTCGGTTTTTTCATGAGTGTCTAGGTTAGCTTGGCCACTTTCATGGAAAATCTTTTCAGTCATCTACATTCGGTTTTTTCGTGAGTGTCTACGTTAGCTTGGGCATATCTCAACTATTTTCATGAAACAATCTTTTCAGCCAACTATATTCGGTTTTTTCATGAGTGTCTAGGTTAGCTTGGACATATCTCGACTATTTTCATGGAACAATCTTTTCAGCCAACTACATTCGATTATTTCGTGAGTGTCTAAGTTAGCTTGAGCATACCTCGACTATTCTCATGGAACAATCTTTTCAGCCAACTACATTCAATTGCCAAGGTAACTTCTAAGTTATAGGTAGGTGGTTGTCATGGCTTAAACTCATTACTTCGAGAACTTTATTACTTGCATGAATTTCTCGACCATTAAGCCAACTCATACCGTTTCCTCTTTACGATCCAACTGGAGAGGTTTTTTTTAAAAACTTCCTAGAATTGGGTATCTTCTCCTCTACAATTTCCTACCATAAATGAAATGGTTTCTTATTTATTAAAAAAAAAAAAAGACGTAAAAGCTCAAGCTCACCAAGAAAACTGGTCCATGGATTGTGTCAATGCAAAGTCCAGCGCCCGGCGGTAAAGTTAGATCTGCACATGCTGATACAGATACAATATCTGGAATGTCTACTTTGATTGGCATATCGCCATTCAAGGTACTTCCAGATCTTCCTAAAGCATTAGGGGATGTTTGTATTTGTTCCCCCCCTATTTTAAGCTGAAAGAGGGATTGACCACAAGTAGTTCAATATCAGTTTCAACCAAATCACATAAACGCACCCATCTCCCATGGCTGACTGATAAAATCTAAACAATAAAAACAGATAGAACTTTACCTTTTGCAAAACATCATGATTTAGAAAATACTG